TACACAGCAGCATTTATTGTACTATGATATCTTATAAAAAGGTTAGTGAAGCTTATTTTTTCAGCTAACAGAAATAAATGTCTAAATCTATTTTTAGAAACTTTAATTTGATGAAAACAGTATAATTATAAAATATATCAATGCGTCATGTCATTGAAGACATTTTTCCTGTAATGTATTACAAATATAATATAGGAATTATATTCATATTTTTTTCTATTATTTTCACGGGGCTCAATATTGTCACTTTTTTATCACTATTGTACTTTTCCGTTCTTTACACAACCGTATTGATTGCCTTCTAGCTCCCAGTGGAAAATTCAAAAGACATATTTTCCTACAGCTGACGCTAAATCAAGCTTTTGTGTACTCCTATGGGTCAACATTCGGATCCCTTCATAATCTTCCTTTCATCCTTCCTCAGAAATAAACGAACCGTAAGCTATGCTAGGCTAAAGTTGGGAACAGTCCTTTGACCTAAAGATGTCAGCCGTTCGGAATATTGTTTCCAATCAAATGGATGTTGTATAATCGTTCATATAGACAAAAACGAAAATTAGGTTCAATTGTCACAACAGGTGAATGGAATGGATTTATTAGAAAACTATTGCACTAAAACAGAATATTTTTATTATCAAGATTATATAAATATTAAGAATTTTTAGTTATGTTTGTTTTATTATGACTAATAGGCCCATGCGAAAAATTCGCACAGCATATTGTTATCAAATGCCAAATTAATAAGAAAAGAAAATAATTCAACGTATAAAAAAGAAAATCTTATTTTCTTTCTCTTGTATTTTTTGTAGAATTATACTCACATTTTCATTTGTTATATATTACACTACAACAATTGTTAGCATCTATTTACTTTATTTTAGGATCTTGTTACTTAGCTTACTTAGTCCATATTGTATTGTACTTACTGTTTATAATTCTAATAAGCTTATTCACATTGTTTATAAATTATGTCTAAATATTATGTAATTTCCACAATTCTCTATCTTTTGTATCTTGTCCGTTCTAGCCCTGATGAAGACCTGCAAAGTCTGGTCGAAACGTTGGCTTTCAATAAAATAGTTTTACCACTATTTAGCCTTTTTATGACCGCAACCCCGGACCATCTCCTTCCTTTAAAAAAGATAAAAGATAAAAGCGCAAATTTCAATACGCTGTATCTTTGCGAAAAATTGTCCGATTTCAATGATTTTTTTTTTCCTTTTGTTATTTTCAAATAAAATGGGCTATAATAGTCATAATAAAATGTCCTAATGAACATTAATTTAAAATACGAAAAAATAAATAATAAAATGAAAAACAAAAAATATTGGAAAAATTTCTAATCGATTTCGATGATTTTTTTTTTTTCCTTTTGTACACAATTTAGTAATGTTTTATATAATCGTGGGAATAACCAAGGGAAAAGTGTGTAATTTTTTAGTTATTCGCAAATAAAGTTTCTTTTCTTTCATAACTTGTTTGCCTGAATTTTCGGGCTCAAGTCGACGAAACGAGACATGCATCCAATGACAGTACTACAATTAATGTCAGGTTGTGTGGATACGAATCCCATACCTTGCGTTATCTCGAAAATAGTACGTTTTGGGCCTAAAAACGCAGAATCTGGATCTTGCTGTACTCATCAAAATCTTCAATGTCCAATTTATCCCACATCGATCTACAGACCTACCACCTTTCCAGTACTGAAGCCTAGCAAAATATTTGTATCGGCTTTATTTATTTTAAAAAGAAAAACAAAAGTGGAGAATACGATTCGCTAACCCTCCGTAAAATTCTGAATCCAACGGTACCCCATTCATGGTATTTGAGCATGACAGGAGCTTATATTTATTACAAAACCGATTTCGAGCCTTACTGTAATAATAAATGTGGGGATGGGGATTATGACGCACAGTGGGCTGAATTAGGCAATCTAGCGGGACAAAAGGCAAAATATCGATCATAAATATTTTTGAATTTGGTGGAAAAAGAAGAATTAGTTAAAGCAAAAAAAAAATAACACAAGTAAAAAACACAGTAAACATTAAAAAGTGAGCGCTAGTCACTGCGTCTATTTTAAATTAGCAAATTTTTAACTACTAATTGTTAATATTGAGCTTAACCATTTATCAAATTTAATTTTTCCAAATTTGTGTACAATTTCAAAGGCAAAAGCTTTAAAATATTAATATCAATATAATGAAAGTTTCACTATTTATCTAGAGAAAAAAAATAGATGTATTATTTAAAAATATCTATCTCATAAGTTTAGCAAATATAGTAGTTGAAATGCTTTTAGATCCCGGTTATTCCGGCTGTTTTTAGTTACTTAGTTTTTATTTAAGTTTTTACTTAACTTATACAATGTTCAGAATGCTTTAGAAAATATCAGGCAATTTTTTTCTAAAAATTTGATACAACTAGTGCGCAGCAAATTCGCAATCTGAGAGCAAATAAAATAATAATAATGATTTAGTTTCACGTTAAACGACATTATATATTAAATTATTTTAAAGCTTGTTTAATATATTTCTATAAACTATAAATATATAAACTATATAAACTACAGTATATAAACTACTTTATATAAATATAAATATATATATATATATATATATATATATATATATATATATATATAAAGTAGTTTAATATATTTCATATTTTTCAAATATTAGAAGTCGGCAATATAATTTTTTTTTTAATTTTACAACAAAAATATTTTTTTTAACACAATAATAAGACCTAATCAAAATTAATTTAAAATAAATTTATCAAAAAAATATAATAAGTGAAATTTTAGTAGAACAATGTTTTATTCTCCTTAAAATGATGAGTTACTTTGTAAAAAGTTTGTAATTTTTCATTACAATACATGTCATGACTTTTGTCCGGCTAGATAGCAGAATCAGCACATTGCGACGTTTCGATCCAAGTTTGTGGGTCATCATCAGGAACAAACATTAAAACTACATAAGGAAAAAAGATATGGACAGAAGCACATAAATCAGCCATGAGAAAAAGATGTAATAAACATACGATGATTCTTTTTCTCTTACCTTCTTTAATACAGGCGCCTATGAAACTAAATATATTGATTCTAATTGATTTATACAAGAAACTACTTTCTAATATGATTAAAATATAATATTGCTGCGAAAGAAATTAAACTAAATAATAAACGGGAGGGGATAAATATAGAAGGGGTAAGAGAAGGTCTGGTTCGTTTTAACAAAACCTTTAGCACCGCCGCCATTAATTCTGGCCCGTCTCGGTTGGCATCCCGAATAATTATGAAATATTAGACTACTTCAAAGACTCGGATCATGTTTTAGTTACTTTATATCAGTAATTTGTCCTAACAGGAAGTGATGAATAGGAGTATTATTACGTTCAATAAAATATTTAGTAATGTTTTATAATTCTCATAATTATTTTTGTAACACTGTACTTTCATGAAGTAGTTGTGTATTTTAAAATAGTTTAAATTAAAAGCGTCAAAGCAATGTTTAACATTATTCGCACAACATAAACCAGCCAAACCAAAAGTAATCAGAATATTTTTCAAGTGGAGTAAAACCAGTTATCGACACATTCAAGGAATCTTTAAACAAGTTTTTCCCTGTTTACAATCGCGTACCCACGCAAACAGAACTGATATTTTTATTCCAAGTATATCAGTTCTGTTAAGTCAGTAAAGATCTCTAATTTAAAAATATTTAAGTGAACAGGTGTCTTTCATTTATTTTGTTTTTATAGTGAAACGGAAAAATATAAAAATATCCATATACGCCAGTTTTCGACAGTCTTTTTCAATTTTTAAAAACCAAAAGAATTTAATCCAGAAGCTTTTAAAATGTACGAACTACAATGATATTGTGCAGGAACTTGTGTTTCTTACCAAAAGCGTAAGAGACATCCTTCCTATGCGAAACCTGTCGGGTTTCTAATCTTTAGCCATTTTTTCCGAACTATAAAGCTAAATAACTAGTGGGAGATGATGGAATATGCAAGCGCAGGTTCGATTCCCGCTTCAAATGAGCGCCTTTCGCCAGCTCTACTAGACCGTCTTAATTAGTCCAATGCTTAATATTCTTCAATACTGCAGTGGCGAAAACTGGGTGGAGTGCCGAAAACTAGGGCCTATGTCTATGTTCCGATGTATATGTCAGTCACATCATCAGAATGAAATTAGAAGAAACATAACTATAAACTATAACTATGTTTAAAGTTTAAAAAATTGTTTGAAATCGGTATTAAAGTCATATGGAGTGGAAGCACCAAATGTTTTATTTAAATAATTGGGGACATTGTTATAGATTGTATTTACTCTACAACTCTTCCATTCCGAGGTGTGGGTCTATCAGTATATTTCATTACAATGCCTTTTATGTATTGTCAAGCCGTATGGACTAAGGGCCGAAATGATGAGAAAAGTTGGAGTCTATGGCCTAAGGGGGATGAATTTCCCCAGTTAGTAACGGGGCAGAACTACCCGTATTACAAAGATTTTTGTACGAGTTGCTCTGGGGCCCTCATACTTTAATCTGGGAAGAAGAGGACCAGCTAATGGAAGGCCGCCAGAGTAATATTTTGAAAACAAAATGATGAAAAAAGAAGAGTGTTTTGATAATGTTTTTGTAGTTTAATAGCAGGAATGGCCATCCCTCCAAAATCCCGTGTAGCCGACAGGCAAGGAAGGGAGCAATCAATTAATAAATAATAAATGTCAAGTTAATTTTTAATTAAAGGATATTTTGTGAAGATGGTGGTAAACATCATTATATCACCGATAACCGATAGTCCGTATAAATAACAAATTTTTCTTCTTCATATTGCATAATATGATACAGTGCTGCACTGATAGCGTAGCATTCTGCAGTGAAGTTGCCGAAACATTTAATTATACCTTGAGGTGTACTATCGTCCCTTTAAATATTTCCCTTAACTTAGCACCCTGTATATATTTAAGACAATTTTTATTCAATTACGGCTTAAACTAAAATCTAAGAACTGATCAATAGTAACTGTTGGCTTTTAGAACTGATCAATATATTTTATGGGGATGAGCATCTTAAATTGCCACTCCAATAACATTGACAGCCAACCAAACATGTTGTGCCTCACGCTTTTCCTTGTAGGAGTAATATCCGTCCTTATCCGACTCCCACATGGCAGACAAGTAAAAGTGGTAACCAGCGCCATTGTCTTCCATCATGTCCGTGAACACTGCATCAAATACAATTTAAAAATCACTAAATCCTATTTTAGCCAGAAATTAAAAGTTATTTTGCTAGATTATACAATAAATTATCTAAAAGGTGTGGAAAAATTAAAAATTCTTTTAAGAATTTTTTTTTTTTTTTTTTTTTTTTTTTTTTTTTTTTTTTTTTGTTAGATGACTACAATATTGAAAATATTGAACACAAGTAATCGTTCAAATGGGTCTTAGGAGATGAGAAAAAATTATTTGGTCTTTGGCGTATCAGCTCCGCCAGTTATTCTTTTAATAGTAACCTGTTATTGTACGTGATTAAAGAAAAACACATGATATCGATAGCTTTAATCATAATTAACCAAATTCATATTTTTTAAAGGTTATTTGCAAGGACAAACCTGTTGCATAATTAATTAGTGATATTGTCATAAACATATCTTCTACACCAAAGTATAAACTATTAACATTATTAATTAATAATATTAATATTAATCTACCATTATATCAGAATAATGTAAATATAAAAATGTTATTTTATTATGTACAATTGTAATGGGGGTAATTCAACCGATAGGAATAAATACATTATGTTTAACAGAAAGTCTTGATAGATCATTTTAAATAAATTTCTTTATACTTTTAAATAAAGGAAATTATAATTTAAGAATAATTCTGTAACGTGATGATGCAGGACTTTCTTTACGTTTTTGCGATTTTGAAAAGTTGTTTTTTGACGCGAACCTACCAAACGAATGCAACAACTTCCAGTTGGAAGAGGTCGTTCTTTTGTTTGGCTTCCCCATTTGGCCTTGGGTGCAGGGGGTCTAGTTTTGTTTGGAAAACGTTAACCATCTTCAAATGATTCAAATTTTTAGGGGGAAAATTTGGCTTTTGATAACGAATACAACGACTTCCGGATGGCAAATGTCCTTTTTTTTAGACCTTGTGTGGTTTTTTTAGAATAGTTTTCGACCATCTTCAAAATGTTGAAGAAAAAAAAGTTGGTTTTTGTAGAGAGTCAACCAGACGAATGCAACCAGTCCTTTTTCCGGCCTTGGGATAATCTAGTTTTGTTCGGAAAAGGTTTATTTTTTTTTTTTCTATTTAAGGTGGCAGACGCCCATATTTGCCATGCCTGGCGAGAGTACTTTCAACAACTACGGTAAAAATCCTTCAAATCAAACATGTTCTTTTGAACTTAGCTCCCGGACTGTATAGATTTTGAACATTTGATTTTGAATAACGATTACTTATTAAATGATTAAGTAATGAATCCAAGATCCTCTGTGGGCTTGTAATAAAAAAAATACAACGAAATATTTGACATACCCTTATGCTAAATAAGTCCAAACCACTCGAAGTCAACTTTGTCAAGTACATAATCGAAGTTATTTGCATTACCTAAATATTTCAACGGTGATTTCATTAGTGCAAGTTTTTCTAGACATTCTTCACCGACATTAGTAGTCCAGGTTTTTAATCTCGGAGGGAGTGGATAAGACTTGCCCATCCCCTCTTCAACTGCGTCCTTAACAATTTCAGCTACCTTTTCGATATCAAATTGGTCCTAAAAATCGATTTAATAATTGTTAATATATTTATTATACGAAAGTACTTCAAAACCTATCCGAATAATGCTAACTATGAAACCCTAAAACACTATCATACATGCTAATCCATTACAAGAAACGACAAATAACCTTTTATTTAAATTTTTATACTCCGAACCTACTCAATGTAAAGTATAAATCCAAATTATCTTATAAATTGGAAACTACTGCAGTTCTTTGGAATACTTACGCCAGTTTTAAAATCCATCATTCACTTAAATCAAAACCTATTTATAACCAAATAAACGAAACATGTGATTATTAAGTGTAATTTTATTCTAAAACAAATTTAATGATGATTTAAATAATGGACAACTTTCTAATACACCAAAAGAAGAATATGGAAATAAAGAAATCTTGTAATGTGATAAAAGTATGATATTGAATATTATTGGTTTGTCAAGTTGAAATCAAATCTTGTTGTTTTTCATTTATTTTCTATGCAAATTCTATTTAGTTTCCATAGAAACATTTATTTACTTATCAATAAGAGACATTATTAACGGTAATAATTAAAAGTCATTTGTTTATAGTCAATCTCTTTACCTTCTACGGCATTATATTTTTTCTAAAAACTTTAGGTTTCCAACGGTCTATTATATACATATATAAATACATGAGTTATATATGTATTCAATATATTACAAGATAATCTCATTTTATTTATTATACTAAGTTACTAAGTTAAGTACTAAGTTAGTACAGAAACGTTAATTAATAAATATAATGTTACATTGGAAGATATTTTTTCTGGTCCCCTCAAAGAAAATGGATTTATTTTTTTTAGTAATTATTGTGTAAATTATTTATTATTGGCTTAACCGTAAAAAATAATTAAAATCTCATTTGGAAAGTTTTTAATAATTTTGTCCTCCCATAGCGTCAAAATCACCCACTAAGAGCCGCTAGAACAAAGATATGAACCCATCAAGCTACGGAAAAACGTTGGAAAACGGGAGAGGTCAAAAAAATAAGTAAGAATTTAATAGTGGAATCGAAGTAATAGTATCGATAGATAAAAAAAGTAATAGCAGTAGTAGATAGTAGATAGATATTGATCTATCCTAGGTTATTGGTTAAACAATATTACCGTAAATTCTCAATTATTAGTATCTGAATGACTTAATGAATCCAATAAATTTCGAATGGGTTTCCAAACCGTTTTGTGGTTAAAATACGTTATAAATTATATCGAAAAGGCAATTAGCAATGAAATCTGTCTTATTTTTATTGTAATATATTATTAAAATTGTGGGAATTGAGCTGGGCGTTGATATAACTAATATTACAATTATATAAAAAAAGTATAATATCTTTATACTTAAAGATAACTTTAAAAAGTTTTAATATATCATCTGTGGACATACAAGGTGAGGGATGACAATAACAACACTAAGAAATATTGAAGCCATTTTTCTCAATCATCGGCCTTTTGTAGTTCCTCTGGCTTTGTCACATGATTTATCTCCTTAAGTACAAAGAAGACCGAAAGTTTTAAGAACTCTTCCCCGATACTAGCTTTTGGAACCGTTCGAACTTAAGGGAGAAATACATGGATCAGGCAAGCAAGATAGAATGATCTTTTTTTAATAATTTCCGTATTGTATACTCATCATGATTCCGACAGCGATGTATAAATACGTGATTAAGTATTATAAAGTGCTATGTCAAAAAAAAAAAAAAGGATTGATGAGTATGCTGTGCATCGAGTAACCTATATATAATGGGCAGCACTGCTTTAAAATAAAGTATTTCTCTCTCATATAGTATCGGGACTAGTTAGCCCCTTAATTAAAATGTATTTTATTATTTAACCATAATTTTTGTTTTCAAGATATTCTCCTGTAACTGGGTTAGATTCTAAGTCAGTCTTGATATTACAGTAGACATGAGCTAACAATGAACATTGCAACATTTTACTGTGACTCACTATAGTTTTAAACTGGAGTCGCGAGTGATAGGTTCTTGAACAGTGAATTCCTTTGATATTTCAACGAGTCTAAAATTTTGGACTCATCCTGATGAATTCTGGTAGTATTTTATTCAACATCTAGTCCAAATCTTGTTTTAGAATCGCTGCAGGTGGTGTTGTTTGTCCTTGAACATAGGAGCGCTAGATTTATTATAATTGTATAGACTTTTAGTCTGAGGGATAGCGCTCACATTATGAGTAGGTGATGTAGATGGTTACTTCTTGCTTACAAGTCAAAATATGAAGAATAACAACTTATATAGCTAGGATGGAACGTCCATATTGTCAATAGACTAGGATAGAGATCGGTTTAATTATTCTGATGTAATAAAGTGTTGTCTAAATGAAAAAAAAATTTTTTAAAACAACCTTATGATAATCAAATAATTAATAATTCGACGTTTTTGTAAAATATTGTGAAATTTTATTGGTGTTATTATTAATTTTAATAACATGCGATCATAAATATCACTATTGTTTTGTATTTCTTCACAGATAAAATAAAAAAGAAAGAATTTAAATGCATTCATACTTTACGACGTCACAATACAAGTATTATATTTTAAAACATGTTGGAACCCAGGCGGTATGGTAGGTTTATTCTTCTGCATTGTAAAAAAAATATGCCCATCGATAAAAAAATAATAATAACATCCCAACTAGTGTTGCCCAAATGCGAGACCGAGACGAGTCTTGGTCTTGCAAACTCAGTCTTGGTCATGGTCTTGGTCTTGCGCAAGACTCTCGCAACAATCTTGCAGTTACTTATTAGCTTATTAGTACAGAGATATTACTGTAATTTTTTAGATAGAAGGAATCTAATTAAGCCCTAATGGCAAATTAGAGGTGTTAAATGCAAAAGTATATTGGTTATACAAATTATTAACATATAATAACTAAGATTGTCAAGTATTAGTAACGATTTTAACTTAATTTTTATTAAAAAAGTCGATTTTTTTTACCAGTCCTGGTCTTGGTCTTGCAACAGTTAGGCGCCTGCCTTGCACTTAGCAAGACAAAGACTGGTTTTGGGCAACACTAAGTATAATCTAATCAAAGCTTATACTCGAAATAAATAAAATAATTAAAACACGATCCAATTTTGTTTTTGAGATGTAAGCACGATATTTATGAAAATCAAGTTTTGACATAGACAACTCTAAGACTGGTAGGTTATTAAGGAGTCGGAAAAAATTATTCCATTAATCACTATACTTCCGTTATTTTAGAAAGTGAAACGATAATAGTCCGTGATACAGACTTATTTTTACTAAATTATTAGCATCCGCCTAAAAATTCGTGAATAGCTTAATCCCAATGTAACTTATAACTTTTTTATTTATGAAAATTCTAGGAATTGGAGAGTTTTTAATCTTCAGTACGACAAACATTGTCTATTTAATAAGGTACTAATATCTCGTAAATACCCATTTGCTTTCCACTTCAATCGTAAGACAATTTGTTCATAAAATCTAGAATATAGGTGGCCTACAAAAATATTGGGCAGTTTGGCGAGACCTCCACTCCTAACATGTTAATATATAGGCCAATACTGACATATACTGACACTACAATACTAACATATAGGCCAAACTGCCCAATAGTTTATAGGGCCACCTTTTTGTTTCGATTTTGTGATCAAATTATCTGACCATTCAAGTGAAAAGCAAATGGTTATTTAAGAGTTTTTAGTACCTAATTAAATTAATTAATTTAGTGAGAAAACGCATAATTTATGAGAATGTTTGTAGGTTGAGATTAAGTCATTCACTAAGTTTGGCCGGATGTTAATAATTTGATAAAAAGAGTTATAATAGCAATTAATAATCAATAGTCAAATTTCCATACTTACAAAAAAAAAATTAAGTTATTAAAAATATCTATATTAATTTAGAAAACTGAAAAGAGAAGTTCCAAGATAAAAAATGAAATTTAAATAAATATTTTTCAACAAATAGAAGAGTAGTTATTCTGAAGTGTCACTCCTGTGAGTTCTAGTAGGCGAGGAGATACCAACGAAGCTCCTGATAGAGAAAGCAGCTCTTCCGACGAAGACAGAGGAAGGCCGAACCTTCGATGGTCTAATAATTTAGCAAATGATGGATGCAATAATATAAAATCGTCATTAGGAACTGTATGGTGATGCCAGAGACAGAGATAGCTAGTTGAGTCAAGGACCCGTCAACAAGTTGAAGCGTCCATTTAATGATAATAATTCCTATTTAACCCCTCATTAATAGGCCGGTAATGTATCCTAACCCAACAAACCTAAATTTTAACAATGTGAGGGAGAAAGACTGTTTCGCACACATTCGGCTAATTGCGGTATTCTATTCACAGTGTGATCGACGTGATCTTGATCCACTATCATGCAGGAATGGCACTTCGGAACAAATAATATAATTCAAAAACAGAGACAAGGATTTGGCAATAGCATTTTTCGGTGAGACGCAACAATACAGAACATATGTCTGATAGTTTTGTTTTCACATGGTTACGTGAAAGCTAGAAGAGTTGTGATGTTCTGTGAAAATTATCACTTCTCAAACTATTGAGTTCTTCGAACATGTGTCAAATTGGAAGAAGTTCTAAGAGCGAGAAATAGGACGACGGAGAGTTGATGTTACCAGGTAGTACCTACCTTAAATGTTCTCACTATAAATTAATAGATTATACACATCTTAATTAACATTAAATAGACATTAATTTCGACTGTAATCCTATAGCTCAAATCTCCAAACTCAAACCTTTAAATTACTACGAGGTTACATTATGTAGATGAGGTTAACTGAGAATAATCCTTTAAGTCTCCATTAGGTAGAAGCACATTTACCTCCTCCCCTTTGACATTAGGGACTTAGGCTCAATAACTTTACTAAGGATTCATTGTAGACCAGTAACATTATCATGAAAAGGGGGCTCTAAGTTGCTTCGAATTAGTATTACGCAAAAATGGTCTTGGTCTTGGTCTTGCACTTTTGCAAGACCAAGACCGCTTTGATTGTCTCAAGACCAAGACCTGGACCGGACCCTGCAAGTCTTGCGCAAGACCGAGACTGACCTGCAAGAGTTTTGCGTCTCGCAGTTAAATAAAACTGAGATTTGTGCGTTATTGAGTATTTGGTTTCCATCTAACTATAAAGTAAGTCGTTATAACACTGAAATCTATTGTACTGATTATTATAATGTGATTTTAATGAGGTATTTTAACCTTACATTAAACCAAGATGGCAGCTATTTATCTCTTGAACACAGATTTCGAAAATGAATCCATTAGTTTTCTTAAAAACCAATCACTTTTTTAAACAACGAAATTACACTTTCACAATATTAAAATAAAAATAATTTAAGCACGAACTAATTCTAACCTAATAGTCCAGAATCCTGATGCATAAAATCCAGTTCATAAAATATGCATTTTCAAATTAGTTTCAAACACAATGAGCAT